GAAAGAAACCCTATGGATTATCCGGATTTTTGCATCAAAGAAAATCGTCTATATCGTCACTTTTGGGACATAAATGATTACAAAGAACCAGAATTGTCAGATCCATGGAAATTGTGTGTACCAAAGCCGCAAAGAGACCGAGTTCTGAAAGAGAATCATGATGCGCCGACCGCAGGCCATGCCGGAATCGCCAAAACTATCACCCGCATCGCCAGGCAATATTATTGGCCAGGAATGTTCCGAGACATTACCAAGTATGTTCGAAGTTGTTTGCAATGTCAAAAATACAAACCGTCACAACAACAGACACCTGGAAAAATGAACCCGTCACCGAATCGACAACCATGGGAAGTTGTTAGTACAGATCTTGTAGGACCGCTACCCCGGAGTAAAAGGGGTAATGCATATATCGTCATGTTTATGGATAGATTTACCAAATGGGTACAATGCAAAGCCATCCGCACTGCCACCGCAAAGAACGTGAGCACCGTATTTTACGACGACATCGTCACCACTTTTGGATGTCCAAAAGAAGTCATAACCGATAATGGTACACAGTACACAAGCAAACTCTTTGAATCCGTTCTAAAAGAGTTAGGAATCCGTCATCGATGTACACCGGCTTACACACCGCAAGCTAACCCCGTAGAACGAGCAAACCGAACCATAAAAACCATGATAGCACAATTTTGCGAGGACAATCATCAAGATTGGGATCTCCATTTATCCGATTTAAAATTTGCAATCAACACATCCCGTCACGAATCAATTGGCTTTTCTCCTGCATTCTTAAACTTTGGAAGGGAGTTAGTCATCCCCAAATCCCTACGACAAGAAGTTGAGACCAGTAACCAATCCGCCGAAACCGAACCGATTGAGGAAGAAAGTCCTGAAAATTTTGTCAAGAGACTAGGAAAACTCAAAGAGTGTTTTGACCTAGCTCGTCTCAACCTGTCCCGTGCTTTTACCTCGCAGGCTCATTACTACAATCTGCGTCGACGAGACTGGAGGTGCACTATTGGTGATCTAGTGATGAAGCGCGAACATACGTTGTCATCAGCCGTAGATCATGTGGCCGCCAAATTAGCTCCGAAATACTCCGGTCCGTACACCGTTGTCAAAGTCGTATCTCCCGTCGTCTACAACCTCAAAGATGCTTCAGGAAAGAGACTTAATCAGGTTCACATAAAAGACCTGAAACCAACCGTCGAGTCAGCTTAGACACGAACCAATACCCACCGTCACCACCCCTGTACCGTCTGGATGGTACCGATCGATTGGAGTACAGGTAGACCTACGTCCACGACGCCGTAATGTCGGCCTTCAATGTTTCCGACAATGGTAGTTCCGAGTCCGACGATATGGTATGGTATGGTTTTGAATCCGGAACCGAAGAAAGAAGATTGGGAAGATTATTTTTTTTTGAAGTTGTAAATTTTAGTAGTTTTTGTAATAGTTAGGTAGGCGGAAAAAAGGAAAAATAAAGGCAAACGATGTTCACCTTTATTTTTCTTTCCGAAGTGAGGGGGGGATGTAATGAAGTCAATTTTCATTACTATATTTCGGCCTATTCCGGATATAAATTTCAATTTTTATTTTTTATTTTATTTTAACTTCATGGGTAGACCCTGTATATAAAATTTTGTTTCATTTAAATTCGCGTATTTTACCTGAGTAACGAAAGCGCGCGCGCTTCGCGCACATCAAGTGGGGAGCTAGCCTGCTTGGGCATAGAGACTGGAATTCAGAATTGGGTATTAAAGATCATTCAATTCACGTTACCGATTCGACTAACATCTGCTGCTTTTGCTCCGATATACACCGCTGAAAATTATCGCCGATACCGTAGTTAGGTACACCGAATTTGTTTACATTTTTTTTTGTCGACGGTTCTTGAGTTAAAACGTTCGAATACCGGTTTCATTTGAAATAATTATTCCGTTTTCGATTTTATTTAAGAGAAATAATAATTGATTTCAGATTTTCGTTAAAAATATTTTGATTTACCGATAAATTATTTAGTTTTGATTTTATTTAGAAACATTGAAAATTAGTTTTTGGTTATTAGGAAATAGAAACTTTGTTTCTATTTTAATAATTAATTAATTTTATTACGACCGTGAATTGTGTTTCTATTTTACAGTAATAGTAAACCTAATTTTAAATTAAATTCCGTATACAGTTGATTAGTTAATTTTCATTGCGACCGTGGATTTTGTTCCTAATTTTTTTTAAGTAATAATAAATTTAAATTTAAATTAAATTCCGTACATAGTTAATTATTTAACTTTTACCACGACCGTAAATTTTGTTTCTATTTATTCACAATCTGGTTTAACTTTTTTTTATTTATGTTTCTTTACTTGGGAATAGAATTAGTTCGAAAGTTGGAAAGTTGAAATAGTATCATTTTTCATGTCGAGTGGACTGGTTGTGGCGAGAAAGCTCACATGGGATTAGATACTATCCCGGTTTTAGATTTTATTTAGATTAACCCCTATCCGTGATTAACATATTAGTGTTTTTCTTATGTTTGAGAGTGCTGGTTGTGGCGAGTACACTAATCGTAGGATAAATACTGACCCGGTTTGATATTTGGTTTTGTGTTTGAGTGGGCTGGTTGTGGCGAGTACACTCATCATAGGATTAAATACTAACCCGGATTTTGATTATTTTCTTTTAGTTACCTCCGTGCCGTGATTAAAATGATAGTATCATTTTTATGTTGAGCGTGCTGGTTGTGGCGAGTGCACTCCTCATAGGATTGATACAATCCCGTTTTCTTATCATTTATCTATTCCCCATTCACTAAAACAAGGAGGTTTGTTTCAGTTTCAATACCGACTAGAGAGTTAACCAGATAACTTTTACTACGACCGTGATTTTAATTTATTTTTACGAAACAAAATATTTAACTGTAATCTTTATGCCGATTTAAGAGTTAACTAATTAACTTTTGCTACGACCGCTATTATTTGTTTTTGGTTTCGTTTTGGCTCAACCACCGATCCGACAAATTTATTAATTAGATACTATTGCCACCGAGCATCTTTCTTCTAATTTTAATTCTACCGTCTGATTGAGACTAATCATTACTGGCCGATCTGTTTGTTTTTATTTTGTTCAGGGTTTTAAAATTACGAGCGGGGGTGGGCGTTGAAATATTTATTTATTTTTTTTATTGTAAATAGTTAAAATTCAATATATGTGTCAACGTTACCTTGACTGTTACTGAGGTTACTGATCCCTAATTTACTTCCCCCTTTATTTCAGCAGTGAGAAATTCTTTATCACTACAAGTGACGATTAAAGCCCGTTACTTGTGGTTACTTATTACCTGTGTCTGAGTGACCAACGACCCCTGGAATTTTTCATCTCCATCTGTGCTGCCCGAGTACTTTCGACGCCGTTTCGAAAGATTGTGGAGTAAACCACACATCAAATCTGGCGCCCGAGAGCCGTCCCGTCAACAGGCGTCATTTGTAAGTAATCGTTTTCTCTGAGGCGAGAAAACCCCTTACAATACCAATCTATATGCAACCCAGGTACTAACTTCGAATACTGATGTTGAACCATTATCGCGACTTCATGAATGGAAACCGACAAGTTTACAAGAAATAAGAACATTTCTAGGTCTCATTTTATATATGGGTTTGGTAAAATTACCACAGTTAGGTGATTACTGGAGTACCAATGAATTGTACAACTTGGAATTTCCTAGAAAGAGCATGAGTCGTAATCGTTTCAAAACACTTCTTAGAATGATTTATTCCGCTGACAATAAAAGTGCTGCTAGACAAACTGACAGATTGTATAAAATAAATCCATTAGTACAAGCATTAGTTGAAAATTATAAGTCTCTCCAGATGAGTATGTGTGCGTTGATGAGACATTCTACTTATTAGGGGTAGGCTTTCCATGAGACAGTATATGAAACTAATACGCCAAAAATATGGAGTAAATTGGCAGAACACGTGTTAACAAACTGTTTAAGCAAGTAATCGTTAAAATTGTTTACCCTGAAACGTTTGAATATAAAATTGGTATTTTATTTTTAGAATGAGTAAATAAATGGCACTTTAAAGAAAATAATCCTGAACAAATTTCGCAATTAAATGGTTTTTCTAAGCGATTTAATGTCAGATGTTTATCATAAATTTCTTTAGTTTTAAATTTTATAAAACAATTTTCACATTTGTATTCGTATTCTATGGGCGTCGCTATAATTGGTTGTTTGTGCGTAGTTTTATGATTTGAAAGTCCTGTTTTGGTAGCAAATTTTCTAGGACAAAGATCGCATTTAAAAAATTCTCTAATAAAAGTGTTGAAGTGTTTTTTTCTTTTGTGATTTTCAAAATTAAACTTGCTACTTAACACTTTTAAACAAATTTCACATTGATGTCGTTTCGGACCAGCGTGAATTGACATGTGGCTTTGAAGTTTGTTTGCGGTTTTGAAACTTTTGAAACAAATGTCACACTTATATAAATTCGAGCACGCGCCATACGTTAGATGATCTCTGAGGTATTTATAGAATCTACTACATAATTTACATGTACCCTCTTTCTGAACTTTACTACGCTTTTTTGTTTTTAAAAGAGTGTACTTGCTTTTTTTATAGTAATTTTGTTTGTTTGTTGTATTTATTTGAAATTTAACCTTAGATCTTATTATATGATTAAAATGATGTGTCAAAAATTCTTGTTTTCGAACAAAAAACTGTCCGCATAGAGCACATATGACGTAGGTTTTAAAATGTAGATTGAAGTGCTTCCGTTTCGTTGGACCTGTAAAGAATAAAGTTCGTAAAATACCTTAATTAAACTTTTAAAAACTGCTAATCCAGGATAGAAAATAATATGTATTACAATTGAAAGTGAACAGATACAAATTTTGAACTGCACTGTTTGATTAAAAAACAAAATCTGTATCAGAATAAATCACAAAAATTTTGTAAAGTAACTTTTTTAATAATGTAAAGGATTATAAACAATATCGATTTCTTCTTTAACTTGCGACGATTTAATTATATTATTCTTATGTGTTTCGTTGATATGACGAGACGAGTTAATAATTGTTTACTCTGAAACGTTTGTATACAAAATTGGTATCTTACTTTTGGAATGAATAAAAGAATGGCACTTTAAAGTGAATAATCCTGAACAAATTTCGCAATTAAATGATTTTTCTAAGCGATTTAATGTGAGATGTTTATCATAAATTTCTTTAGTTTTGAATTTTATAAAACAATTTTCACATTTGTATTCTATGGGCGTTGCCATATTAGTAAGGCGTTGCTTTGTAGTTTCTTCAATTAATTTTTTTTTGTGCGCAAATATATGTTTTTTAAATCCTTTTATTGACGTAAATGTTCTAGGACAAAGTTCGCATTCAAAAATATTTGGCAGTGTGTGAGTTCGTTTGTGATATTCAAGGTTATACTTGCTACTTAACACTTTCAAACAAATTTTACATTGGGATTGATTGGGATTAGTGTGAAATAACATGTGTCGAGATTTATATCTGCGAGTGTATACATTTGAGCAAATTTCACACTTAAATAAAATGTTGCACGCGCCATGCGTTAGATGATTGTCGAGGCATTTGTAGAATTTCCCACATAATTTACATGTGCCATGGGGACTCTCTTTCTGAACCTCGCGACGCTCTTTTGTTTTTGATTTTTTTGAAAGAGTGCACTTCCTTTCTTTATAGATTATTTTGTTTGTGGTATTTACTTGAAATTTAATCTGAGATCTTTTTATTACGTGATTAAAGTAATGAGTCAAAAATTCTATTTTCCGAACAAAAAATTGTCCACATATAGCACAGATGACGTAGGTTTTAAAATGTAGATTGAAGTGCGTCTGTTTCATTGAACCTGTAAAGAATAAAATTCGTAAAATACCTTAATTTAAAATGTTTCCACCAGTGTGAACTTAGCAGCCAATTTCTAGCAGCCAAAATTCCGAATATTACCGAATGATCAGTAGCGTCGTTTAAATAGAAGTAATTAATTATTAGGTGAGAAATAGGACAAAAACAATTGAAATTTTTACTGAAATTTGATAATAGGATGTTCTTTTAATTGTCACAACAATATTAAAATTAAAAGGACAACAGAATACTTTTAAAATATTATTACTATTTTATTCGACAAGGTAAGAAGTCACATCAAAAAGTATTTTACAATATGTATAATGGTAGTATTAACTCAAACAAAAAGTATGATAGATATAATAACAAATTCCCACAAGGGTAAACTACCCCGTAATAATAAAATATTTATTTTGTCAGAGAAACAAATAAGTTATCACTTTAAACTGTGTTTTAAAATATTTTTATTTGTTAAAATACGTTATAATAAAAATAGGAATTAATGTAGCCCCTCCCAACAGGAGTAAAATGCCCTTTAAAAAAATTAGTTGACCAAAGAAGGAAATAAAGTATCAATATCAAATGTGATCGAAAAAACTTCTATTAGGGTTATATACTTACAGTTGAAATATGAATTACTAGCGACCCTCCCAACAAGGGTAAAATACCCTTAGGATAATAAAATAAGTAGTTTACCAAAGAAAAAAATAAATTATCAATTTTAAATGTGCTCCAAAAAACTTCTTTTAGTGCTATATACTTACAGTAAAAATATGAATTACTAGCGACCCTCCCTACAGGGGTAAAATGCCCTTAGGATAATAAAATAATAAGTTTTCCAAAGAAGAAAATAAATTATCAATTTTAAATATAATCTAAAACACTTCTATTAAGGTTATATACTTACAGTAAAAATATGAATTACTAGCGACCCTCCCAACAGGGGTAAAATGCCCTTAGGATAATAAAATAATTAGTTTTCCAAAGAAGAAAATAAGTTATCAATTTTAAATGTGATTAAAAAAACTTCTATTAGTGTTATATACTTACAGGAAAAATATGAATTACTAGCGACCCTCCTAACAGGGGTAAAATGCCCTTACGATAATAAAATAACTATTTTTCCAAAGAAGAAAATAAATTATCAATTTTTAATGTGCTCTAAAAAACTTCTATTAGTGCTATATACTTACAGTAAAAATATAAATTACTAGCGACCCTCCCAACAAGGGTAAAATGCCCTTAGGATAATAAAATAATTAGTTTTCCAAAGAAGAAAATAAGTTATCAATTTTAAATGTGATTAAAAAAACTTCTATTAGTGTTATATACTTACAGTAAAAATATGAATTACTAGCGACCCTCGCTACAGGGGTAAAATGCCCTTAGGATAATAAAATAATTAGTTTTCCAAAGAAAAAAATAAATTATCAATTTTAAATGTAATATAAAAAACTTCTATTAGTGTTATATACTTACAGTAAAAATATGAATTACTAGCGACCCTCCCAACAAGGGTAAAATGCCCTTAGGATAATAAAATAATTAGTTTTCCAAAGAAGAAAATAAATTATCAATTTTAAATGTAATCTTAAAAACTTCTATTGGTATTATATACCCTCAATAAAAATATGAATTACTAACGACCCTCCCAACAGGGGTAAAATGCACTTAGGATAATAAAATAATTAGTTTTCCAAAGAAAAAAATAAATTATCAATTTTAAATGTAATCTAAAAAACTTCTATTAGTGTTATATAGTTACACTAAAAATATGAATTACTAGCGACTCTCCTAACAGGGGTAAAATGCCCTTAGCATAATAAATTAATTAGTTTTCCAAAGAAGAAAATAAGTTATCAATTTTAAATGTGATTTGAAAAACTTTTATTAGTGTTTTATACTTACAGTAAAAATATGAATTACTAGCGACCCTCCCAACAGGGGTAAAATGCCCTTAGCATAATAAAATAATTAGTTTTCCAAAGAAAAAAATAAATTATCAATTTTAAATGTAATCTAAAAAACTTCTATTAGTGTTATATAGTTAAACTTAAAATATGAATTACTAGCGACCCTCCCAACAGGGGTAAAATGCCCTTAGGATAATAAAAAAAATTTGTTGACCAAAGAAGGAAATAAAGTATCAGTTTCAAATGTGATCTTAAAAACTTCTATTAGGGTTATATACTTACAGTTGAAACATGAATTACTAGCGACCCTCCCAACAAGGGTAAAATACCCTTAGGATAATAAAGTAAGTAGTTTTCCAAAGAAGAAAATAAGTTATCAATTTTAAATGTGATTTAAAAAACTTCTATTAGTGTTATATACTTACAGTAAAAATATGAATTACTAGCGACCCTCGCTACAGGGGTAAAATGCTCTTAGGATAATAAAATAATTAGTTTTCCGAAGAAAAAAATAAATTATTAAGTTTAAATGTAATCTAAAAAACTTCTATTAGTGTTATATACTTACAGTAAAAATATGAATTACTTGCGACCCTCCCAACAAGGGTAAAATGCCCTTAGGATAATAAAATAATTAGTTTTCCAAAGAAGAAAATAAATTATCAATTTTAAATGTAATCTTAAAAACTTCTATTGGTATTATATAACCTCAATAAAAATATGAATTACTAACGACCCTCTCAACAGGGGTAAAATGCACTTAGGATAATAAAATAATTAGTTTTCCGAAGAAAAAAATAAATTATCAATTTTAAATGTAATCTAAAAAACTTCTATTAGTGTTATATAGTTACAATAAAAATATGAATTACTAGCGACCCTCCCAACAGGGGTAAAATGCCCTTAGCATAATAAATTAATTAGTTTTCCAAAGAAGAAAATAAGTTATCAATTTTAAATGACATTTAAAAAACTTTTATTAGTGTTATATACTTACAGTAAAAATATGAATTACTAGCGACCCTCCCAACAGGGGTAAAATGCCCTTAGGATAATAAAAAAAAATTAGTTGACCAAAGAAGGAAATAAAGTATCAGTTTCAAATGTGATCTAAAAAACTTCTATTAGGGTTATCTACTTACAGTTGAAACATGAATTACTAGCGACCCTCCCAACAAGGGTAAAATACCCTTAGGATAATAAAGTAAGTAGTTTTCCAAAGAAGAAAATAAGTTATCAATTTTAAATGTGATTTAAAAAACTTCTATTAGTGTTATATACTTACAGTAAAAATATGAATTACTAGCGACCCTCGCTACAGGGGTAAAATGCCCTTAGGATAATAAAATAATTAGTTTTCCAAAGAAAAAAATAAATTATCAATTTTAAATGTAATCTGAAAAACTTCTATTAGTGTTATATACTTACAGTAAAAATATGAATATGAATTACTAGCGACCCTCCCAACAGGGGTAAAATGCCCTTAGGATAATAAAATAATTAGTTTTCCAAAGAAGAAAATAAATTATCAATTTTAAATGTGATTTTAAAAACTTCTATTCGTGTTATATACCCTCAATAAAAAGATGCAATACTAGCGACCCTCCTAACAGGGGTAAAATGCACTTAGGATAATAAAATAATTAGTTTTCCAAAGAAAAAAATAAATTATCAATTTTAAATGTAATCTTAAAAACTTCTATTGGTGTTATATACCCTATATACATTTAAAATTGATAATTTATTTTCTTCTTTGGAAAACTAATTATTTTATTATCTTAAGGGCATTTTACCCCTGTTCGGAGGGTCGCTAGTAATTCATATTTTTACTGTAATTATATAGCACTAATAGAAGTTTTTTAGAGAACATTTAAAATTGATAATTTATTTTCTTCCTTGGAAAAATAATTATTTTATTATCCTAAGGGCATTTTACCCCTGTTGGGAGGGTCGCTAGTAATTCATATTTTTACTGTAAGTATATAACACTAATAGAAGTTTTTTAAATCACATTTAAAATTGATAATTTATTTTCTTCTTTGGAAAAATAATTATTTTATTATCCTAAGGGCATTTTACCCCTGTAGGGAGGGTCGCTAGTAATTCATATTTTTACTGTAAGTATATTACAGTAATAGAAGTTTTTAGGATCACCTTTTAAATTGATAATTTATTTTCTTCTTTGGAAAACTAAATATTTTATTATCCTAAGGGCATTTTACCCCTGTTGGGAGGGTTGCTAGTTATTCATATTTTTACTGTAAGTATATAGCACTAATAGAAGTTTTTGGAGCACATTTAAAATTGATAATTTATTTTCTTCTTTGGAAAACTAATTATTTTATTATCTTAAGGGCATTTTACCCCTGTTCGGAGGGTCGCTAGTAATTCATATTTTTACTGTAATTATATAGCACTAATAGAAGTTTTTTAGAGAACATTTAAAATTGATAATTTATTTTCTTCCTTGGAAAAATAATTATTTTATTATCCTAAGGGCATTTTACCCCTGTTGGGAGGGTCGCTAGTAATTCATATTTTTACTGTAAGTATATAGAACTAATAGAAGTTTTTTAGAGTACATTTAAAATTGATAATTTATTTGCTTCTTTGAAAAAATAATTATTTTATTATCCTAAGGGCATTTTACCCCTGTTGGGAGGGTCGCTAGTAATTCATATTTTTACTGTAAGTATATAACACTAATAGAAGTTTTTTAAATTACATTTAAAATTGATAACTTATTTTCTTCTTTGGAAAACTAATTATTTTATTATCCTAAGGGCATTTTACCCCTATAGGGAGGGTCGCTAGTAATTCATATTTTTACTGTTAGTTTATTACAGTAATAGAAGTTTTCAAGATCACCTTTAAAAATGATTATTTATTTTCTTCTTTGGAAAACTAATTATTTTATTATCCTAAGGGCATTTTACCCCTGTTGGTAGGGTCGCTAGTAATTCATATTTTTACTGTAAGTATATAGAACTAATAGAAGTTTTTTAGAGTACATTTAAAATTGATAATTTATTTTCTTCTTTGAAAAAATAATTATTTTATTATCCTAAGGGCATTTTACCCCTGTTGGGAGGGTCGCTAGTAATTCATATTTTTACTGTAAGTATATAACACTAATAGAAGTTTTTTAAATTACATTTAAAATTGATAACTTATTTTCTTCTTTGGAAAACTAATTATTTTATTATCCTAAGGGCATTTTACCCCTATAGGGAGGGTCGCTAGTAATTCATATTGTTACTGTTAGTTTATTACAGTAATAGAAGTTTTCAAGATCACCTTTAAAAATGATTATTTATTTTCTTCTTTGGAAAACTAATTATTTTATTATCCTAAGGGCATTTTACCCCTGTTGGGAGGGTCGCTAGTAATTCATATTTTTACTGTAAGTATATAGAACTAATAGAAGTTTTTTAGAGTACATTTAAAATTGATAATTTATTTTCTTCTTTGAAAAAATAATTATTTTATTATCCTAAGGGCATTTTACCCCTGTTGGGAGGGTCGCTAGTAATTCATATTTTTACTGTAAGTATATAACACTAATAAAAGTTTTTTAAATTACATTTAAAATTGATAACTTATTTTCTTCTTTGGAAAACTAATTATTTTATTATCCTAAGGGCATTTTACCCCTATAGGGAGGGTCGCTAGTAATTCATATTTTTACTGTTAGTTTATTACAGTAATAGAAGTTTTCAAGATCACCTTTAAAAATGATTATTTATTTTCTTCTTTGGAAAACTAATTATTTTATTATCCTAAGGGCATTTTACCCCTGTTGGGAGGGTCGCTAGTAATTCATATTTTTACTGTAAGTATATAGAACTAATAGAAGTTTTTTAGAGTACATTTAAAATTGATAATTTATTTTCTTCTTTGAAAAAATAATTATTTTATTATCCTAAGGGCATTTTACCCCTGTTGGGAGGGTCGCTAGTAATTCATATTTTTACTGTAAGTATATAACACTAATAGAAGTTTTTTAAATTACATTTAAAATTGATAACTTATTTTCTTCTTTGGAAAACTAATTATTTTATTATCCTAAGGGCATTTTACCCCTATAGGGAGGGTCGCTAGTAATTCATATTTTTACTGTTAGTTTATTACAGTAATAGAAGTTTTCAAGATCACCTTTAAAAATGATTATTTATTTTCTTCTTTGGAAAACTAATTATTTTATTATCCTAAGGGCATTTTACCCCTGTTGGGAGGGTCGCTAGTAATTCATATTTTTACTGTAAGTATATAGAACTAATAGAAGTTTTTTAGAGTACATTTAAAATTGATAATTTATTTTCTTCTTTGAAAAAATAATTATTTTATTATCCTAAGGGCATTTTACCCCTGTTGGGAGGGTCGCTAGTAATTCATATTTTTACTGTAAGTATATAACACTAATAAAAGTTTTTTAAATTACATTTAAAATTGATAACTTATTTTCTTCTTTGGAAAACTAATTATTTTATTATCCTAAGGGCATTTTACCCCTGTAGGGAGGGTCGCTAGTAATTCATATTTTTACTGTTAGTATATTACAGTAATAGAAGTTTTTAAGATCACCTTTAAAATTGATAATTTATTTTCTTCTTTGGAAAACTAATTATTTTATTATCCTAAGGGCATTTTACCCCTGTTGGGAGGGTCGCTAGTAATTCATATTTTCACTGTAAGTATATAGAACTAATAGAAGTTTTTTAGAGTACATTTAAAATTGATAATTTATTTTCTTCTTTGAAAAAATAATTATTTTATTATCCTAAGGGCATTTTACCCTTGTTGGGAGGGTCGCTAATAATTCATATTTTTACTGTAAGTATATAACACTAATAGAAGTTTTTTAAATTACATTTAAAATTGATAACTTATTTTCTTCTTTGGAAAACTAATTATATTATTATCCTAAGGGCATTTTACCCCTGTAGGGAGGGTCGCTAGTAATTCATATTTTTACTGTTAGTATATTACAGTAATAGAAGTTTTCAAGATCACCTTTAAAATTGATAATTTATTTTCTTCTTTGGAAAACTAATTATTTTATTATCCTAAGGGCATTTTACCCCTGTTGGGAGGGTCGCTAGTAATTCATATTTTTACTGCAAGTATATTACAGTAATAGAAGTTTTTAAGATCACCTTTAAAATTGATAATTTATTTTCTTCTTTGGAAAAATAATTATTTTATTATCCTAAGGGCATTTTACTCCTGTTGGGAGGGGCTACAGTAATTCCTATTTTTATTATAACGTATTTTAACTAATAAAAATATTTTAAAACACAGTTTAAAGTGATAACTTACTTGTTTCTCTGACAAAATAAATATTTTATTATTACGGGGTAGTTTACCCTTGTGGGAATTTGTTATTATATCTATCAAATTTTTTGTTTGAGTTAATTCTACCATTATACATATTGTAAAATACCTTTTGATGTGACTTCTTACCTTGTCGAATAAAATAATAATAATATTTTTAAAGTATTCTATTGTACTTTTAATTTTAATTAATATTGTTGTGACAATTAAAAGAACATTTTATTATCAAATTTCAGTAAAAATTTAAATTGTTTTTGTCCTATTTCTCACCTAATAATTAATTACCTCTATTTAAACGACGCTACTGACCATTCGGTAACATTCGGAATTTTGGCTGCTAGAAATTGGCTGCTAAGTTCACACCGGTAATGTTTCCAGCAAAAATATTAATTCATGTACTACCTAGGATTGCCACCTTTTCATTTTCCAAAACCCGGACATGATCGATCCAAGCTAGGGTATACATATAACCAGTACATACCTTCTTAATAATTTTGATTTATTTTGAAAAATAGAACAATGCGCTTAGTTATAGGTTGTAGTTTATTGCACTATAAGGCACAACATACCTACCTACATAGTTGCTCTTTCATTTTTGGAAAAAAATTAAAAATAGATACCTATACTTTTTTTAAAATTTTTACATACCCACATTTTAATTTACATCTTTAAAAAATAACAACAGATCGATATATTATTAAAATTTACCTATAACTAAGTATATTATTTAAATTAAACAAACAATAAAAAACAGGCATTACATTATGTAATGAAATAAATAAATAATAAAAATAAAACAAAACGAAGAGCAAAACAAAATGCACATGAAATTAAATCACTTAAAATCGTTAACGTATAGCTATTATTAAAAACTTTATAGACAAAAACAACGCTATGCTATCCTCATAATTTTGTGTAGCGAGTTATAATACATAACGCATAAACACAATTTAATGAATTAAAAAAAAAAATGTGCAAGGGGTCCCATTTACGGCATTTATTTATTTATTCAATGTGTCGAACGTATTGAAAACAAAATTACAAAGTTAGATATTCCCGAACATTTTCATCATGTGACTGGACACCGGACAAATCTTTAAAAACCGGACAGTCCAGGTGAAAACCGTACAGGTGGCATCGCTAACTACAACTGAAAGTGAACAGTGAATACAAATTTTGAACATATGTACATTTTTTGACTAAAATAACAAAATCTGTATCAACATGTATTGCAAAAAGTAACTTACAAAATTTTAGAAATCACTTGCACAACACACATCTCATAATACATATACATAATACCGCAATATTAGTTTTTTCCAGCGGTTTAATTCTTATATTTATTCGAAAGCTATCAAAATGTTTGGTTCAATTTTTTTTTTGAATATGTTTAAAGGCAGTTGCAAATTTCTTTCATGATAATCTTTCGTTTTCAACGTGAATTTTAGTGATGTCGCGAGACGAGACAAGAGGACTCTCTCGTCTCGTTGGGCGAGCGAAAATTGTTCTCTCGTCTCGACGAGAAAGCCCTTCGCTCGCTCGAGAGCCCTTCTCTCGCTCGAGAGCCTTTCTCTCGTCTCGTTTCTCTCGTGATAAAAACATATCAAATTTAAATTTGGAAAAGATATACTTATGACGAACATTTTTGTAAAATTTTGAAGACAACAAATAATTTTTTAAGAAATTTAGGGAATCACCTAATCACGTCGGTGTATCTCTGTATGTTACAATGGTTTTATATCGTATGACATACACAATGCCTTTTAATTTATAAAAACTCATTTCCGATTCAAGTAAAAAACAATGACTTTGAATTTTTATTATAGATAGCTTATTATTTATTTAAAATACTCATCGACAACTACAATCGTTTTAAAATAAACTATCAGTACATTTTAATCGATGCTACCTATTTTATTTTGTTGCAACACCACTTCATGCATTATCCAGAATTGTTGACGGTTACAGTCTATTGAAATTTGAAGTAAACAGTGTTCCAAATTAGGCGTTAACTAAAAATGTAAATACTTTGTACTTGGGGAGGGGGGAGGTTAAATTGTAAGTTACATTTTTTCTGGAAATTTGACTGAATGAAAATTATTACAATTCTGTCCGTTGGATAGTTTCTTTATACAAAGAAAAAGGGTTCTGCGGTACTGATCATTTATATCAGCGCCTGCCAGCTAAATCTATCAAAAATCTCTAATATATATCTCTAATAATGACTTGTTTATCTGTTTTCTGGAATAATTCGCGAAATAAAAAACGGCTGTCTAACAAGTTGTACAGCCTAGGTACCAGGCCACATAAGGGCAACAAAGAGGTTGATTTACTAGCCCAAGAAGGAGCCTCAAAGGCTCTTTTTGACTCAGAACCCTTCTGTGATGTCACAAAGACAACTATCACATGTACAAAGCAGTTGTTTAAAAAATCTTAGGAATAGTAAAATTCACCAGGATAGAGACAGACCAAAGAGTTCTTAAAATGACCATCGCCTAAACTTACCGAGTATCTACTAAGCCTTAATAGGTAGAGTACTAGGAGGTCTGCTAAGAGAGTATTGTAGGCTTAACAAACATATGTATAATATCGGTCTGACAGAAGAAACCTTGTGCCGATTCTGTCGGGAAGAGGAGGAAACTGCAGAACACGTATTGTGCTACTCCGATTCCTTACACTTGGAGAAGAAAAACCAAGGGCAACTAGCTACGCCCGAGAACTATTTCCTAGTCTATGGAGGATATCCACAATATATCTGAAAAGGTTGAGGTGGGGAAGGCCACACAATCCTAATTTAATCTAATCTAATCTAACAAGTTGTACAACAAAATCTGACACAAAAATTGTATCCCGAAAAATTTTATTAAAATGGAAAAAAGTTCTTACATTTTACAAAAAAGAAAAATCTTGTAAAGTCCTGCATCACTTTAAAATCCATAATCAAGCATCAATTTGATAAAAATTCAAAAAGTTCTAATACATACTTATAATTGATTGGAATATTAACTGAAATCACGATGATAACCGGTTTCGTTTGAAATTTTAATTAGATACAAAACTTCTCCAGCTTTCAATTTAAATAAATCACTTGGAATTTTTTTTTTGTAAATTATTATTGATAAAATCCCAATTACATACGTATTAATTGTTATCACTTAATATGTATAGAATACGTGTTATAATTAACTTTTTGACTATCTGGAATCTGATGTTTAAATTTTAAGTTACGATTTAAGCAATTGAAAATTTAAAATAAACAAAAAGTGATTTTGAGGTTTTATTCTTTTCTTGAAGAAGTAAATTGCTCAAGACAGCTCGAGAGAAACGAGAAATTCTCGTCGAGACGAGATAAGACGAGACGAAAGACGATAATCTCTCATCTCGCGGCACCACTAGTGATTTTATATAAAATGTAGTACTGGCTGAGCAGACATATCAAATCATTAGCCATACGATAAATTCGAACATAATATATCATTGAAAAGTACCTCCAGGAGCAGATCTGAGCTAGTCACGTGACTATAGAACAAACGATTCTTGGGTGGAATAAAATACGTCTATGCATAAATTTATTTCTTTTCCATGGCTTCTATTAAACTGAACATAATAACCCGTACTGTATACTTTTTCTTTCTCATTTTCTCGACTTTGTAATATTTTTCAATTAAATACTAGCTGTGACTTTTATTTTTTTTGTAGTTAGAAGCCTGTCTTATCAAGAATAATCACCAAAGAGGCCTAGTGAAAGAAAAATAAAATCAAATATATTTTTTTTACTCTTATTGAAATTATTTTTTAACTACTGTTTTTAAAGATTCTACCAGAACATATTTTTAAGGTCATAATTATTGAATAAGAAGACCGAAGTAAGAGGATTTGGGAAATGCTCGCATTTTGAAGAATGACAATAAAAGAGAGCGACCATATAAATACTTAAATTGCATGAAAGAAGGTTAAATTAATTGATTTCAAATCATTAGTCAGTTATACAGTGTGATAAAGTTGGATCCATAAGTGAATATTTTTTTTAATATTTAATGTTAAAGTTGGTTAGGTACTGCATTAGTTATCTGTCAAATTCGGTATTTTTTTGAGAAATCGTTTAATTTTTTTTTTTAATTTAGTAGCCAACTTTGATATAGTCTATTTTAAGTTTTAAATATATAAACAAGCAGGGGTGATTTCCATGCGACTTTTTTTCCATATCCTATATGGATGCAACTTAATGCGCACACTGTATTAAAAAATGAAAGGTGGCCAACATAATTTACGAAAACAAAATTCCTTTTATTTTGACAGAAAAAAGTCGCTGTCCTGGGGGTGTGAGAACCTAGGGATGCAACATGCGATAGCACAAAGTTGAATCGGACGGCCATTTTGCTATGATCTATTTTTCAATTTTATAGGTTATATTTCTAGTATCTCATGTGAAATTAAGAATTTAGATTTGAATCTCACCATGTTAAACAGGCGTAAGTCCATTTTTAACAATTTGATAAAACAAAAAAAACTCGTTTAAAAAATGTTTTGAACGAAAAGTTAGTCCAATAATAACACCAGATGGCATTAATATCTTGGACTAATTTTTAGTTCAATAAAATGTTTTAAATGTTTTGTTTTCTCAAATTGTTAAAAATGGACTTACAACAGTATAACATGGAGCGATTCATTTATATTTATACGATTTTTGAGAGTTAAAAACTATATAAAGTGCCTAATTCCTAGCTGTCTAATGAAATATCAAGAGGAATAACTTTTCATAGGTTAGTATAAAAATTATAAATATTGTACAGTACAGTATTATGCCCAATTTGTAAATAATATGTAAAAGTATCTTTTTAAAAATGCAAAAAAATATCTATATTGGAATAATACTTTTTGATAAGAAATAATATTTTTTATACACTTTCAAAAAATCCTGAAAAATGAAACGTGCCGGTGGTTGGCTCCAGTTTTTCAACAGGCATAACTGGGAAGTAAAAAAAGTGGTACGTAGTCTTTTTATGCGGCTTTTTTGCAGGTGGGTACAAGGGAGGGAAGTGAACATGTCCCGGTGATGAGAGCTGCTGTGTGACCTACTAAATAAAAATGCCCGAAGGGCAATATTCTTAGTTGAGAGTCATACAAGCAATCAAATCTCTTGTACATAATAGTTCAACCATTCAATATCCTATTCATCCCGGATTTTTTAGAAAAATATATCAAAATAGTCTAATTTGAGAGCTGTTAAACCACTTTTCGACTTTTGGTTCCGATTTTACACCTATTTCAAGGTTACAATTTTTTTGCATAACACAAAAAAATGCTTGCAATATCATCTCAGATTTAGATAAAAAACGCGTTTAAGCTGTATCTCGAATTTCTTTTAAAAACGTAAATACTGGTCACGTGGGCCAAACCCCTACACCGGAAGTAGCCAAACCGGACGACAGAAAAAGTTTACAGAGAATTTTTTTTTTGTTATAGAG